ACTTTTAAAACTCTACTCCACTCCACTCAACTCTACTTGTCTTCAGGGACCTGCCGGCTAAACTTTTAAAACTCTACTCCACTCCACTCTACCCTACTCGTCTTCAAGAACCTGCCGGCTAAACTTTTAAAACTCTACTCCACTCCACTCTACTCTACTTGTCTTCAAGAACCTGCCGGCTAAACTTTTAAAACTCTACTCCACTCCACTCTACTCTACTTGTCTTCAAGAACCTGCCGGCTAAACTTTTAAAACTCTACTCCACTCCACTCAACTCTACTTGTCTTCAGGGACCTGCCGGCTAAACTTTTAAAACTCTACTCCACTCCACTCAACTCTACTTGTCTTGAAGAACCTGCCGGCTAAACTTTTAAAACTCTACTCCACTCCACTCTACTCTACTTGTCTTCAAGAACCTGCCGGCTCCACTCCACTCTACTCTACGTCTTCAAGAACCTGCCGGCTAAACTTTTCCAAACTCTACTCCGCCCAACTCAACTCTACTTGTCTTCAAGAACCTGCCGGCTAAACTTTTTAAAACTCTACTCCACTCCACTCTACTCTACTTGTCCTCAAGAACCTGCCGGCTAAGCTTTTAAAACTCTACTCCACTCCACTCAACTCTACTTGTCTTCAGGGACCTGCCGGCTAAACTTTTAAAACTCTACTCCACTCTGCTCTACTCTACTAGTCTTCAAGAACCTGCCGGCTAAACTTTTCCAAACTCTACTCCACCCAACTCAACTCTACCTAGTCTTCAAGAACCTGCCGGCTAAACTTTTAAAACTCTACTCCACTCCACTCAACTCTACTTGTCTTCAAGAACCTGCCGGCTAAACTTTTCCAAACTCTACTCCGCTCCACTCAACTCTACTTGTCTTCAGGGACCTGCCGACTAAACTTTTAAAACTCTACTCCACTCCACTCTACCCTACTCGTCTTCAAGAACCTGCCGGCTAAACTTTTAAAACTCTACTCCACTCCACTCTACTCTACTTGTCTTCAAGAACCTGCCGGCTAAACTTTTAAAACTCTACTCCACTCCACTCTACTCTACTCGTCTTCAAGAACCTGCCGGCTAAACTTTTAAAACTCTACTCCACTCCACTCAACTCTACTTGTCTTCAGGGACCTGCCGACTAAACTTTCAAAACTCTACTCCACTCCACTCAACTCTACTTGTCTTGAAGAACCTGCCGACTAAACTTTTCAAACTCTACTCCACTCCACTCTACTCTACTTGTCTTCAAGAACCTGCCGGCTACACTTTTAAAACTCTACTCCACTCCACTCTACTCTACGTCTTCAAGAACCTGCCGGCTAAACTTTTCCAAACTCTACTCCACCCAACTCAACTCTACTTGTCTTCAAGAACCTGCCGGCTAAACTTTTTAAAACTCTACTCCACTCCACTCAACTCTACTTGTCTTCAAGAATCTGCCGGCTAAACTTTTAAAACTCTACTCCACTCCACTCAACTCTACTAGTCTTCAAGATTCTGCTGACTAAACTTTAATTTTCTGAGCTTTTCGTGTACTCAACTCTAGTCGGCTTTGCTTTGCTCTGCCTTGCTCGCTCTACTCTACTCGACCCGCCTCTACTTCAGGACCATGCCAACTGGACATCAGTTCTCTCTTCAAGGAACATGCCAAGGAATGTGGTATCAGGATGTACCAGGACGTGGCGTCCAGCTAGGGTTTTAGGGTTTGGGAGGACGTTAAAAAAATTGTTTCCCATACGCGTGCCGCGTTAAGAATTGGGCAAGTGGGCAGGATATGGAGCAAAATTCGTTTGAGCATGTGGCTTCTCATTTTGGTGTTTTTGGCATTTTGTGTGGGCCGCAGCGCCATTCTGTGACTGAGGCTGAGCTGACTGGCCCATGGCGGCCCCAACTGCACTTGCACGCTGCCCACTCTATATCCAAAAAATCACACAGTTTGTTCATATCTATGTGTGTTTTTAACTAATGAGGATAATGATGTTGTGTATGCTACGTCCAGACGGCCGACAAGTGTCAGTAGATTGATTTTTCTTTCAATGTCACCAAGACCTGACGTGCGACCTACTGCCGCGCGTTTTGTGCATGTCGCGTTCGTGCGACTGTCGCAGCCCCCGGTATACCAGTCGTTTGGCCCTTTTAGCTCCGATGGATGATGGAGCAGTGCATCCCAGACAGCTTGATTTACATTGGGATTGCTTGTTGTTTTCGAACTCCTACTAGTTCCATCTAGTTTCCAGCTTCTGCCCACCACATTTTCCGACACTGGAAAAATCCAGCGCAGATTACCTTGATGACCCATCAGTTTTTGCTGCGATTTTTCGGTTCGTTGCAACAAGGACCAGTGACTGGCGTCCGTTCGTGCGCTCGGCATGTCAATGTCGCAAACTTGAGAATGCGAAAAAATGCGTTCTTGTGGCATAAGTTGAAATTGAGTGCTGATGTGTGTCGATGATAAACACATAGACACGTTGGCAGTAAGAATGGTTGGAACGAAATTGGTTCATACACAGTTTGACATATTGACCAGGTATAGCAAAAATGATTATACACATTGCTGCGGGTTGGGGCATTGGAGACAGAAACAGAACGCAGTTTTTTCAACGTGCTTGCGTAAAACTGAATGATTCAAGTGAATTTAATCATTATGAGGGAGGGCGGGGCTAATTCTGCAAGACTTTTCTTGATTGCGCGTTGATATGGAGGTCTGGGTGTTTTCACTGTGCTGGAGATTGCTTAGCTTCACAGTGCTGTTCCTCTAACTGCCGCATGAAATGACATTGACCTGTTTGCTCGCCACGTTTTCCACCTAAAAGGCAGTAGTTTTGATAGATGTGAGACACCTGAGATCTGCGTTGTCTGATGAGGTTCAGGGGCGCGTCGCTGTGAGTTTTGCTTTGATCTCATCGGTTTCATGGCTGCGGCAACTTGTAGTGTGAAGTGACGCAGGACTGTTTGAACATGTTTGAAGGGTTGTAGTAGCAGGTCCCTGGCACTTTCGCGCATCCCATTACCATAGTGCAGCGCGCAACAATGGTTGATGTGACTAGCATAGCAAGTTTTTCCCCACATCTTTGTGTGGGGTTCCTGTTTTTCCGCTCTGCACTCGGCCGCCTCCTCCTCCTCCTCCTTCTCCTCCTCCTCTGTCGCTTCCACACACAACATTGTAACGCGCACAACGATGTGACACATAATTCTTTCACACACAACATTGTCACACACAACTCTTTCATACACAACTTTGTCACATATAATTCTTTCACACACAACATTGTCACACAAAAAACACACACAACATTTTCACACACACCTTTGTCACAGATAACCCTTTTACACACAACACTGTCACACATATAACTCTTTCACACAACATTGTCACACATATAACTCTTTCAGGCACAACGTTGTCACACATTAATTCTTTCACACACACAACATTGTCACACATAACTCTTTCACACACACAACTTTGTCACACATAACTCTTTTACACAACATTTTGACACACACCCCTTCTTCACACACAACATTGTCACACACAACTCTTTCGCACACAACTTTTCCACACACACACACGTCACACACAACATTGTCACACACAACTCTTCCGCACACGCACTTCACACACACACAACATTGTCACACACAAACTCTTTCGCACACCACTCTTCCACACATACACACACACTAGACAAGAATGGATCATTATATGATCCGGCAGGAACTGAATCCTGAAACATGCAAAAAGACAGGAAACAAATCTATTAGATTGTTTGTTTATTGGGGTTCTTGGCTTAGCCCCTTGCCACGTCCATATAAATCACAGGAGTCATTGACATATAAACCAACAGCAGTAAGAGTATAAGGAGCACGTCAGTAAAAAATCACAGGAGTCATTGACATATAAACCAACAGCGTAAAAATATATATACGAGTGCAGGTACGTCAGTGCGATATCACGTCCACTTGGTGCGGTCTTTGTTAGATGAGGCACACCAAGGGAACCCTCATCCCCCTGCACTAGATTTAAAACCCTTTCACTAGATTTAAAAAGGGAGAGGACAGAAGGAAGAAAAAGAAAGAAGTTTTACATCTATTTAGATGTTACACACACACACCCGGCCAGAGCCGGGTCAACCCTGAAAGGCAAGAGGAAGAAAAAAGCGGACACACGAAGGGCAAACGGCCAAAAACAGCGCAGGCGGGGGAGGGGAACAGACGGACCTCCGGAACCAACCTACACGGCGAAACGGACCTAACCAAAACAGCGCACACACCTAAACCCCACGACACATTACGGAGAGGCACGCGGGGAAATTAGGGACCAAATGGGAACGAAACTGCTGGTTGACAAGAGCCATGCAAGCAGCAAATGGATCACGCCTGAACATGCTTCACGCCTGAACATGCTGGCAATCAGCCATCAACTGCAGAGCAAACAACCAACAGAAGTACTATATATATAGTTGTATCTATAGCTGGTACCAAACTCTTGATTTGATATACTGAATAATATTTGCACAGCACCCCTGATGCAAGCAGGCAACCTTTTTTGACATCACATCCACGAGAGTCGGCATAACACCGCAGACAAGCCATCATGCAGATCGAGATTGCGTGCATCCCACCGCATTGTACATACAAAAAATGTTTGACACCAAAAACAGCACACCGCAACTGTTGGATGGGTTGCAATGCCACCCCTGCACACTCCGTCCCTGCATGCCAAAATACGCTCCTAGATATCCATGCGCTGGGGCGCACACCATGTAAAGGAATAACCGCACAAATATCTATATGCACATAAAGGAGTGTGTATGTATATATATATATATACATTTATACACATATAACATTCTTAAAGAACTTAGACGCTAAACAAAACTGTATGTATTCACATGAAGCCACCTTTGGACGCATGATCATGAAAAATGTAATGCCACCAGCACGCGGCATGGACCCAGAAAGGATTAGATCCCCAAGTGGGAAATAGACAGCTGCTTCATGTGCCAGCCTCACTTCGCACCTCCTTTGCCAGCAGCTTCTTCGATGATGCTGCAGGCTCGATCCCAGGCAGTGGCTGGTGACCCTTTCCGTTCACCTTCAGGTCGCACCTGTCTGAATGATGTCTGAAAACTCTCCAGCAGGTGCCGGTGTCACTGCGATGGATCTTGCCCGTCAAATAGTGGCATGTTGGGCCACCTTTGGGGGTGATGCTGGGTCTCTTGGAAGCTCCCTTGGGTGTGGCCTTTGCAACAGTCTTGCCACCGGCCTTGGGTTTGGCCTCTGCAGCACTCTTGACTGTTGCCTTGGGTGCGGCCTTGGGTGCGGCCTTGGGTGCGGCCTTGGGTGCGGCCTTGGGTGTGGCCTTGGGTGTGGCCTTGGGTGTGGCCTTTGGAGCACAGGCTGGTTTCTTCATGGCCGCGCATTTCTCAAAGGCTTTCTTCATCTCCAAGGCATGATCGTCGACTTCCCGTGCAACATCTGCAGGTGGGGCAGCCAAAGGGTTTGAGCTGCAGGAACTTGAAATGGAGCAGGCACATCAGGTGATTGAACTTCTTTGCGGACCTCCTGGTCCTGCAGGGCGAGCGCAGCGCCCTGCCCAGCACTGGCAGCAGGCGATGCTGTAGAAGCAGGAGATTCCAAAGACTTTTCGTTTTTTGTTTGGAAAAATCACCAGGTTGCCAAAGGCTGACCCTGATCATCATTGTTCATTTGCATCATCATCTGCTGCATGCGTTGCCAGTTCTTCATGTTTGCCTGCATGCCCTGCATGCTCTGCATCACTGAGAGGAAGTCATTAGGGTTCGTGCTCGGGGTTTTGTTGTCACCCATTGTCACCTCCTTGCTGGTGCCTCTCATCCACTTGCCTGGTTGATGGGCAGCCAGCACAGATGGCAACAGGGCTTCAGCTGCTTGGCCATCAAAAGCCTGCTCCAGGAATTCTGGTGGAAAGGATCTTGGGTCAGCAGGGAACTCAGGCACTGAAGGTTGCAGCCCAGCCCTTGAGCTCTTGAGACAGCGTTTGTACTCTCTCAAGAGGGCGTTGCACTCATCGGCTGTTGAGGCCATGTTGAACTCTTGCACCAAAGTTGCCACCATCTGGCCAAGACTTTTCGCAAGGAAACAGGAAACCAAGCTTGATGCATCGCTTCACAGCACAGGTTGCTCGCGTGAATGCATGCTGCTCCTCATTCTGCAAACCTTCTCTGTCTTCGGCAGTGAGGTAATTGAGAAAACCTGACGGCAGTGTCTGCCTTGACTTGATTTACCACCCTGCAGCTCCACCCTGCAAAGGCTGCTGCTGATGGCTCTGGTCAGGCTTGACTTGTTGCCATCCATAAGGACTGAAGACTGAATGGTTTCAGTCAAAGCTGCGGCGTCATCAATCTCGAGTTTCACATCGTTGAGTCTTCTGATCAGCGATGCTACTTGGCTTGCTTCGATTTCAGCATAGGCCTTGGCATCCAACTTTTTGCTTTCCTGCAAGAATTGCAGTGTGGCATTCGAAGCACGCTGGGTTTTCTCCATGCTGAAACGCGAGTTTGTAAACACCCAAGATGGCACTTGGTCAAAACAGCAGCTGGTTGCAGAAAGCATGCTGCCACAGGCAGTCATCCAAAGATCATGCCAAAATGTGGACTGACTGAGCAAATCTTCATCTTGCGCTCACTGAAGTTTGATGTCTTCGGTGCAATCATCAACATCTTGTGTCGTTTCTACAGTTCTCATGAAATAAGGTGATTCAAATTCTCTGCAAATTGCAGATACCCTGTGCTACATCTACTTCAAAGTCTAATCAGAAGCAAATGCTTTACCAGGTATAGGTTGATTGAAGTTGCAGGGCTGCTCAAAAGCAAGCTCGCATTCACAGTGCCCTTTTTAACAGCAGCCCGTGAAAGTTCCATGCGATCACAAGCGGGCAAAAAGCCCTGCTGGCGGGTCAGTGCCCTGCCTCTTTCACAAATCAAAAAAACACCCATGACAACATGGGGAAGCACCAGCTCAATTGAGCTCACGACTTGCGTGCTGGCTTCTTCAGCACAGTCTTGCCCACAGTCCTTGCCTTGACACGGACCTTGGTGTTGGCACTTGTTCCCCACCTGCCAGGTGAGGGTTGTTAGATTTTATGTCAGTTGCCTCCTCCTTCTCCTCCTCCTCCTCCTCCTCCGCCTCCTCTCCTCCTCCTCCTCGTCCTCCTCGTCGTCCTCGTCGTCCTTGCTCAACTGCGACCCGCGATCCACAGTGTTCTCTGCCGGACCTCAACCACGACCATCCACGCCCAGTGTTCCCTGCCGGACCTCAACCACGACCATCCACGCCCAATGTTCCCTGCCGGACCTCAACCACGACCATCCATCGCCCAGTGTTCCCTGCCGGACCTCAACCACGACCATCCACGCCCAGTGTTCCCTGCCGGACCTCAAACGCGAGTATCCACGCCAAGTGTTCCCTGCCGGACCTCATGTAGGAAGATATGGGACAAAGAATGTGCAGAAGAAAGTTAGAAAGAATGTCAGAAAGAATGTCAGAAGATATGCCAGAAGATATGCCAGAGAGAATGCCAAATAGAATGCCAGATATGCCAGATAGAATGCCAGAAGATATGTCAGAATATATGCCAGAAGATATGCCAGATAGAATGCCAGATAATATGCCAGAAGATATGCCAGATAGAATGCCAGAAGATTTGCCAGATAGAATGCCAGAAAATATGCCAGAAGATATGCCAGATAGATATGCCAGAAGATATGCCAGAAGATATGTCAGATAGAATGCCAGAAGATATGTCAGAATATATGCCAGAAGATATGCCAGATTGAATGCCAGAAGATATGTCAGATAGAATGCCAGATTGAATGCCAGAAGATATGTCAGATAGAGTGCCAGAAGATATGCCAGATAGAATGCCAGAAGATTTGCCAGAAGATATGCCAGAAGATATGCCAGATCATATGCCAGAAGATATGCCAGATAGAATGTCAAATAGAATGTCAGAAGATATGTCAGATAGAATGCCAGAAGATTTGCCAGTAAGAAAATGTATACATGTCATGGTGGGGATCACACGAAGTAAAGTAATTTGTTTTTTCAAAGTAGCATCAGTCTTGCCACTATGATTGTCCTCATCTTGGTTAACATACATCTAAACTTCCTTCGATAAATATCTGCAAGTATCCTAAGAGAATAAGAGTGTGTTTTTGGGAAGCTTGACAAAGTCAAGACTTTCCAGTGCAAAAGCATGTGCATGAAATAATCGTCAGTCAGCCTGTGCAGAACGCATCCCATAACATATGCTGCTTTTGGGTGGTCGATATTACTCTTGCAAGTACATGTGCATATATATATATTTGCATACACAATCTTCATTCATGCTATATGTGCATATTTCTTGGCACTGCTTCCCTACTACCTGCAGAGTGACAAGCATCTGATGTGCATGGTGTGGAATGAAAATCGGTCAGAATATGGCTTGCTGGCAGGATTGGAATTCAAAACCATTGCCAGCATCCCGAATCTTTTGTTAGTGCCATGGCGTCCTCAAAGATGTCCAAGGGTGGCTCCAACCGCTTGGCTGGTCGCTATGAATAAAAAGAGGCTGCTGTGGGGGGTTGTTCTCGTGGTGGGAATGTTTTTGTCTTGGGGGATGACTTTCACATGCTTGGCCCGGGATCCAGTCAAAAGATACACCAGGCAATCTCAAATGAAGACACATTTGGTTCATCGTAAACATAGGAAAACTGTCCTTCGGACAAAAACAATAGTGTTTCCCTTGTTTTTCCTTCAAAATCGATTCATCCCCACATCCTTGATACATCGCCCAAGTTCCGCATTTTCCGGACCGGTCCAAGATCAAAATGACTATCTGTGGAGGCAATCACCGAGCTTGGAGCTATTTTCGTCCGTGACACATGTCCTGGCCTGCGCTACTTGATCAGGAAGAAGTCAAACTTCCGACAATATGGACAGATGAAAAGCAGAGTAGGGCAGAGGCAGAGAGAAGAGAAAGATCAGAAGAGAGAAGAGTAGAAGAGAAAGAGTAAGAAGAAAGAAGATAGAGATGCGCGAAAAGGTAGGAAAGTCGCGATTCACTGTGTTTTTCCAATGATTTGTGGCTCTGGGGGGTCGAAAAGTAGGCTCGCTAAAGCGGCGGGCGCGGAGCCAGCTGGCGAGAGGAGAAATGAAAAATTGCACGCCGTTGTGGCGCGAAGCACATTTGCAAGTCAAAATGTACAAAACACTAGGGGTGCAGACCACTTTTGGCACTTGAGATGTCGAAAAAGTGCACGCCGTTGTGGCGCGAAGCAGATTTTCAAGTCAAAATGTACAAAGCACTAGGGGTGCGGACCACTTTTGGCACTTGAGATGTCGAAAAAGTGCACGCCGTTGTGGCGCGAAGCACATTTTCAAGTCAAAATGTTAAAAACACTAGGGGTTCGGACCGCTTTTGGAAGCTCAGATGTCGAAAAAGTGCACGCCGTTGTGGCGCGAAGCACATTTTCAAGTCAAAATGCACAAAGCACACCACGTTCGGACCACTTTTGGCACTTGAGATGTCGAAAAAGTGCACGCCGTTGTGGCGCGAAGCACATTTTCAAGTCAAAATGTTAAAAACACTAGGGGTTCGGACCGCTTTTGGAAGCTCAGATGTCGAAAAAGTGCACGCCGTTGTGGCGCGAAGCACATTTCGAAGTCAAAATGTTAAAAACACCAGGAGTTCGGACCACTTTTGGAGGTTCAGTTGTCGCTTCGCGTGGCAGGCGCAAGGGATTGTGCACCTTGTCAAAAGTGAGCAAAACGTGAGGGATTTGTAGCATTTTCAACTACAACAACCACACCACACTACACTCCAATACACTACACTCAATTACACTACATTACACTACACTACATTCCACTACACTACACGACATTACACTATAATACACTACACTACCTTCCACTACACTACATTACACTACACGACACTACATTACACTACACTACACTACATTACACTACACTACCTTCCACTACATTACACTACACTACACTCCACTACACTGCACTACACTCCACTACACTAAATTACACTACACTACATTACACTACAATACACTCCACTACACTACATTACACTACACTATACTACAATACCTTCCACTACACTACACTACAATACCTTCCACTACACTACACTTCACTACATTACACTACAACTACAACTACACTCCACTACACTCCACTACACACCACTACACTCCACTACACTAAATTACACTAGACTACACTGCGTTACACTACACTACACTACATTCCACTACACTCCACTACACTTCACTACACTACATTACACTGAATGACACTGCACCACAGATAGACAGGTAGACAGATAGACAGATAGACAGACAGATAGATAGATAGATAGACGGGTAGACAGCTAGACAGATAGACAGATGAAAGAGAGAGAGAGAGAGATAGATAGATAGATAGGTAGAAAGATAGATGGATGGATAGATAGAAAGGTAGATAGAAAGATGGATAGATGGATACATAGATAGATAGGTAGGTACAAAGATGGATAGATGGATGCATAGATAGATAGACAGATAGATAGATAGATAGGTAGATAGATCGATAGATACATAGGTAGATAGATAGGTAGGTAGGTAGATAGGTAGGTACGTAGATAGTCAGAGAAATAGAGAGAAAGAGAGGAGACATCAATCACCTTTCGATCCATCAGTGGCTTCGCTCTGCCATCCGTGATTCACAACAACCAACCTCTCCTATAGGTTTCCTATTTTTGAAACTTCCGCCACCGCCTTGTGCGGTACTACTGGTATACATATATATAATTGAAAAAGGCATTGAGTGTCATGGATGACGTTTGGGGAAGACATGAGACACCAGCTGCATAGACCTTTTCATAACCCATGGCCGCTGACCTTTTAGGCCTAAGCCAGACTGGCATACGCAACAGGAAAACCGGCCCGCCTTGTGTCTTGCCTGCTTTTAGGGTCGGCATTTCATAGTGGTAGCGGAGCCTGAGTTGGCGCTTCGATCCTTGCTGTGCTGCCGCTGCGCTCCCGCTCGAGATGTTTGGCACCGTGGCCTATTTGCACTTCATCTTTGCAGCTCCTGCGGACCTCTTTGGTGTGGTGTGGATTTAACCTGCTGGCCTTGGTGATTGGACTACTTCCTAAGGAACCTGGCTCCGATCGGGCTTAGCATCCTTTCGCACTGTGCTTGGACCTCTACCTCAATATTCCTGCGGAGTTTGCGGTGGTCGGGCCTTAGCACCTCCTTTTTTTTGCATTTGCTTCGTCTTCTACCCCAAATTACCCCAACATTCCTGCGGAGTTTGCGGTGGTCGGGCCTTAGCACCTTTTGCATTTGTGCTTGGACTTCTACTTCAAGATTCCTGCGGAGTTTGCGGTAGCCGGGCTTGGCGCTGGACATTCTTTTTCCTTGACCCCAACCTGGTGACTGTGATCGACATTCTTTTTTTGGTGTTGTCACGGAGCTCAAGAAGGGCACCAGCAACTTCC